GAGAAAAATTGGTGCATCGTACTTTAGTGGACGTTTGCTAAGTGTTTGGAAGCTATTTCGAATAGTGAACAGTAAAGGTGAGTGACTTTCATTCTTTTTGGATGAACATATTCAGGGGTAAAAGGCGTTTAGTATAGGATGTCCTCTTATCTTGAACTCTAGTATAGATGAATGTATGATCACCGTTGTCATTCGGATCTCATGATCGACATGTAAGCCAACATATAACCTTGAATCTGTTCAAAAAAATCACATCTCAATGTAGATGGTTGGCTTCAGAGGAAATTGCAGAAGCTCAATTACTTGGCCATGAATGAAATACAAAGAAAAGAGAATGTACTAAGTATGGTACTTGACCTCATAATTATTCGATAAATGTACGTATCATACATAATTTAAATACTCTCAAGAATAACATTTACGATTCGCTGTTTCGTTCTATAAGATTCAACTCTAATCTCTCTAATTTGAGACAAATCTTTAAGGTGGTGTTTGGTTGACATGAATCTCTTGAAATTAAGGAGAATTAGAATCCAATTCCACCGATTTGCCATGTTTGGTTCAAGTTTTCCAAGGGAATTGGAATCTCTCCTGACTTCAACTTTCCATCAAATGAGGGAAAATGAATTTCATCCAAGAATGAATGAAATTCAATTCCCTTGTTGGAGGAAATTGAAATTTGATTATACTACCCTCATCAATCTTTTGGTAACTTATTCATATATTGAATAAAAATATTTTTTCATTATTTCGAGTGGGTCAGATTTCTAATTTATATATTCGGGTCGGGTGAAACTTTATTTTGGTCGGATCGATTTTTTTAAATGTGATGTTCGGGTCGGGTCGAGTTCGGGTTTAGGGTGAAAATCTCAACCCGAAAATATATATAATTTTATCTTATATATTTAGAAATAATTATAATAATACTCCTCTATATATAATTTTTTTTCAATTAAATCACTGTTTTTATTGAATAAAAATAATTTTTTTATTATTTCAGGTCGGATTTCTAATTCATATATTCGAGTCCGGTCGGGTGAAACTTTTTTTTGTTCGCGTCGTGTCGGGTTTTTTAAGTGTGATATTCAGGTCGAGTCTGGTCGGATTTTTTAAGTGTGATATTCAAGTCGGGTCGGGTTCGGGTTTAGGGTGAAAAAACCGGACCCGACCAGAAAAAAATATATAATTTTACCTTATATATTTAGGAATAATTACAATAATACCCCTCTATATATAATTTATTTTCAATTAAGTCAATGTTATATTGAATAAAAATGATTTTTTATAATTTATTGAAATGAATAATCAATTAATAAAATAAAAATTTAATATATTTTATTTTTTTATAATATATTACTACATGTAAGTTGTAAAACAAACTAAAATAAAGCAATAAAACAAAGGCAATTCTGTCATTTTATATTACTGAAATTAAATTCACCTGATATGTCCGCGAACCAAACAGAATTTGAAATTATATTCTAATTCCTGACAAATTTCAATTCCTTCACAGATTCCAATTTCCTCACAAACATTCCAACGAACCAAACGCCGCCTAACTATTTTCAAAAGAGAAACCAGAATGCACCCAATTGCAACAATCTTAAACAAACAGCAATCTAACCTTAAATTCTCCAGTAATTATTTTGAGAGTCTCTTTGTTGAATTCAGCCTCCGCTTGAATGGGAGGCCCTTTGAACATCAGAGTAACTTAGAGAATGTCTTTGAATCCCGGTTCAGTATTGAGATTTCGGCTGAAACCAGTTTCGTTTTTCAGAATTTGGCTGAAACCAGTTTCGTTTTTCAGAATCCGGCTGAAACCAGTTCTTTTTTTTAGAATCTGGCTGAAACCAGTTTCGTTTTTCAGAATCCGGCTGAATCCTGGTTTGATTTTGAGAGTCCGTCTGGCGCTTTTGAGAAAATACCGGCTGACGCTGGAACGAGCCAAATATCATTAATTATTACCAACTCAGAAGAAACGGGCCAAAATCAATAAAAACCACACCAAATGCTAGGGACCAATGTTGGTTTTCTGGGTTTTTTTTTTACTCAGCCCTAATTGTAATTGATCTAAAATAAACTCATGACTACAACACTAGCAATTTTGATCGTTTGGGGATGCTTCTCCAAACGAGCATTTTCCAAGGCAAAAGCACCGCATTCCCAGCTTCTTGGCTGAAAATGAAGGTGTTTAGAATTGCTTTTGCGTTTCAAATGGAATTTTAGGCCAGATGCACGTCCATATGCATTCCCAATAATCTCGGGACTTCAGTTCTCGAAGAAGAAAACCCTTCTAATTTGTAATTCTCTTGAACCTAAACCCTAAACCTAGGGGGATCGATGTTCGATTTTCTGGGTTTTTCTCCTCAGTCCAAATTGTAATCATCAAAAACTTTAAACCCTAAACGCTGAATCAAACGAATTGAGATAAACCCAGAAATCATCATCATCTAAAACGCAGAAATGCTTCCCCACAATCACTTCAATCGTGAATTATGTAAAAGAACAAAAAAAATGGAGAACGGAAGAAAGAAAATGGACTTGCCTTGTTTTTGGAATCAGCAATTCCACTTGCCTCCTTTTTGGGATCAGCATCTCTACTTATAAACCATTCCATCTTTCAATCTTTCTGAAATTTTCCTTCTTCCCTCTAAGATTTAATCCAAAAAATAAAAGATTACTGAAAGGGGGGAAATGGAGGATAGAAAACAGTTGTGTAAGTGATGCGGAAAATGGGTTAGCTCCCAGGATTAGGGTATTATTCTTTCTCAATTTAGTTTTGGATAAATTGCATATTTAGTAACTAAACTATCAGTTTTGATTCATTTCAATACCTAAACTATCAATTTTTTTAAAATCATACCTAAGGTTTAGTTTTTATTTCATTTTTGTACTCTGTTCAAAATTTATCTTTAAATTTTGAAGAAAAAAATAAAAGGTTAGGTACTAAACGGATCAAAATTGATATTTTGTGTACTAAACGTGTTAAGTTTTTAACCGTGGATACTAAAATGAAACAAAAACTAAATATCAAGTATAATTTTGAGAAAATTGAAAATTAAAATACTAAAATAAACTAAAACTAATAGTTTAGGTACTAAATATATAATTTACCCTTTTATTTTAGGTAATGCCTTCGGATCACCGAATCAAATAAATAGGAGTTAATTGCACATGATATCCCTAAACTATGACTTTCATTTTAAATTAATCTCTAAATTTAAAATATTATATATCGGCCCTTAAACTGTAATCTCGTTTTACATTGATTCTTAAACTCAAAAACATTCTATATAATCAGTATCATTTAATTTTGATCTTCATGTTAACATATTACTAATTATTTCGAGTTTTTAAAGTCTCGGGACTCGATAACTAACATATTATAGGTCATAAGATAGACATAAAAGTTCTGAAAAGATATGAGACTGTTGATTAGGGATAAACATATAGAGTTTAAGTGGTTAAGTCGAATTTAGATAAAATCGGATCCTACTTTAATTTTAAGTTTCGATCAACTTTCAGATCGAAATAAAGAATGTAATCGAGTGTCAGTTCGAATGCGATTGAGTCTGGGTTTGATGTTGAGAAGACGATCTCGGTACGATCATTTTCCGAAAGTTGTGGTGATATTTTTCATGGCCGGGGGTCACATATGCATCGTCTAAAATCCCGAGTGCTTTGTTGGGATTTCAAGAACCCTGAATAGCTTCGACCACGGCAGCTCGATCATGTGGGTTCATATATGGATAAACTTGGATCAAGAACTCCCCATCTTTCATTTCCTCAAACTAAATATTAGGTTTTTTTTATGATGTTGAGTCCTTGAACTTGGAACCACCTCTCAAATAGGTCCATGAACATGAATTTTTAGATTTGTTTTATGATGTTGAGTCCTCGAACTTGGAAACACTTCCCAAATAAGTCCCTGAACATGAATTTTTAGGGGTCTTAAGAATCCTTAAAGTTTGTAATACTTTCCAAAATAGGTCATTTAACATGAATTTTTAGGGTTTTTAGTGGTGTTATGTCCTTGAACTTTACAACACTTTCCAAACAGGTCCCTGAATATGAAATTTTTAGGGGTTTCAATGATAATGAGTCCTTGAACTTGGCAACACTTCCCATATAAGTATCTAAATTTGAATTTTTAGGTTTTTTGAATGTGCTCTCCGCGAAGTGTCATGTTATTACCCAAAAACTTTCAAATGTATAAGATTAAGTCAACATATTATATTAAATATCATAAGTATTGCATGAACCAAATGGCCTTCACTGTAAAAGAATTATTATTCCTTGAGAACCTAAATTCGAGCACCATAGATGTCAAGGGTGTGAACGCTCAATGTCAAAAGAATATCAATATTCATAAAAGAAATGCAATTAAAACTTATATGGAGAGTAAACCAAAATATCTTCCTTTTGTTAGTTTAATCATAGCCCACTCTTCCTGCAAATATACTCGCCAAAACGAGGAAAACTAAGTTAAACTATATGAAATTAAGTTATTAATTTTTATGAAGGATCAAAATTGTAATTTTTATTTAATCAAAGCGAACAAAGTCCCTGTCTGCAGGATGAAAGGGGCCATACCCAAAAAACTAAAGACATGACTTAATTTACTAACTTCCAAACTTGATAAATAAGTTGGCTAGGAACGAAGTATAAAGGAGCTGGAAGACCAAATTACTGACAGCAATGGAAGTGTGGATTTTGAGATTTACACATTCAAACCTAATTACGGTAGGCAGCAACAAATTCGAAAGTGAATACCAATCTAAAACTTCGAATATCTGTTATTCGAACACGGTTTACTTCATTCACACAATTAACCGACTATCTTTCATCAAATAACAATAATAATTCAACAACAAGGCAAGAGCGAGACAGGGATAGATAAAGCAAGCTCCGCTCCCGTCCTATTCCGATGTCATCCTTATTTTTCGAGCAAACAAAATAATATTTTCTTTCAGCCTAAGAGAGAGTAACAGAGAAGATGAGAAATGCATAAACCCTTTACTTATGAATGAAAGGCATCCAAAAGTTTTAATAATAAATACACTAATTTTTTTTCACCTCAAGACTGAGCTTTTTTTGTTCCCCATTTACCCAAAAATCATGGGGCTTTACCCTAAACTTTCTCTCAACATTTCCAAACAGGTACCCAAAAGTAAAACTTCTATATATACATTAATCCGGAAACTGACACGAATGGCCTCCGATGGAAAGATCTAAGAGCCACCGTTGATTTTAAATTTGGAAGGAAAAAAATCATTCAAGTAATGATCAAAGGGAAAGACATTGTACTCTGTCAGGGAGATTCAAGGGCATTGGTAGAGCAATTACGTATCTCTGGGAGAAGAATTTGTGAGAATTAGCCATCGCGTCTGAGGACGATGAAGTTTCAGCCCCGTCAGCTTGCCCGCGACCGTGGAACCTGGCGAAACGATTGATGACGGAAACCTTCTCTTGATCCTGACATTCTAATCTTAGGTCCAAGATCGAGGCTCTCTTATCCAGACTGCATAGGAAAGCGGAAACATTTAGAGATAATTGGCACTGGCACGGTCATCAAATGGGCCTAGTGAACTTTTGGTTCGAACATGATGCAAATCGTAGCAAAAAATAATATTGTGGTTAAAATCATCCTCGATGATTCTAAATAAACAAAGGTCTAATTATATGCTAATTAGCCATCTCATTCATTGAACTAGCTAGAAGCTATCACTGCGGGTCAAATTCCTAAGCAAAATAACCAGGAAGCATACACGGCAGCATACTTTCAACAGGCATAATGCACCTCAAGAGCCAAAGGATTATCAAGCCTATGTTGAGCAATACTAAGATCAGTAAAGGGAAACCAACAGAACTGACAAAGAAGCCCCTTCTGCATAATTTTGCTTGTTTAAGAGCACAGCTTACTGATAAATTGACAAATGTATGACACATCGGCACACCCATTACGAGAACAAAATAATCAAATTTAACGGGTGGTCTGTGGGGAAATTCTTGCCGCAAACATTGAACTCCATAATTAATATATAAGGTGTTCACCCATTAATAACAATGTTGCAAAAGACCAACAAAAGAAATAACATGCATAAAAGAAATTGGCGAGAACTAGATGTGAGTTACCTCTGTAAATCATTTTCAAGCTTTTTTGCTCTGCTGATAAAACCTTTTGTCGCATTTAAGGTGGACTGGTTTCTCTCCTTAAGCTTTTCCGAGAAGCTAAAAGCAAATCGAAAGGAAAATATTCCGTCGGATAGGATCAGTTAATAGCAACAATGATCAGCAGATGAGATCAGTAAAAACAGGATTCAAGGAATTCAAACAATATTAACATGTTCTTACACGCTTTCACTGTCAGGACAAACAGCAGTATCACTTTCCGGTACAAATGCTGTGCTACATGCATCTCCTAAGACTGATCTGGCAACAAAATAGGCCAAAGTCTCATAATTTTCGCTAGTGTCGGCAGAAAGAAATACTCTTGGAGGAGCACAAAGTAGTTGCTGCATAAGTTGCCTTGTCAAGATGAGCCTTCTTCTTGATCTAACCACTGGAGTCCAATCTTCAATCATTTCAGGTTCATCTTCAACCTTTGATTAGATCAATGTCCTTAAGCTAAAAACTGTCACAGTTCTAAGAAAGAACAAGATTACAGCAAAGTAAAACGGTTAAAACACCGAACAAACCTTCTCAATCAATCGATTTGCTGCACGCACCCATTCCACCTCTGCCGAACTGTGATCAACAGAAAACTTCAATATAATTACAAAATTAAGAAAAACATAAACATAGTGAGGGAAGAGAGGAAATGATTTTTGCACGGTAACAATATTGGGAAATACTTTAGTGCTTTGGTCATTGACATCTATACTGCTAAAAGTAACTGCAGCAAATGGGTTATTTACTCCAATCACCTGATGTTCTGAGATTTTTTAGAAACTTGTGTCGCTTCTCTATGCCATGGTAGAAGATCAAATGCCATACTTTTACGCTTTTTTGCTTTCTCAACAACCAAATCCTGATTTGTGATATCAGGAGGCAGTGATTGAGAGGAGATATGCTCACTCAATATTGGCTTTGAATTTTTACAGGCACTATCTAGCTGACTAACATCAGCAGCAGTAATAACCTGCTCACTTGAACGAAGAGCATGCGAACTGTCAGAAGGCATATCAACAATGACAGATTTTTCAGCAGCCTTTACCATGGCCATTTTTCGAGCATCAAATAGGGAGGACATTTGCTCATTCTTGAATGTGCCATACCGATCAAACCAGGACAGAGCCATCTGGGGACTTATTTGAGAGAGTCTTCCCTTGAGATTAGCGGATGAATTATCAGCACTAGAGATATGCTGGGAATCATTCTGAGTGAATGCCACGATATCATTAGAAGGAGCTGACAGACAATTAACCTGAGCATCTTTCGTCATAGTATCGGATCCATAAGATAACTGCTCCACACTTTCAGAACTGACCTGATGAGTATCCAAAGCAGAGTCTAGACTTGGGCCTTTAAATCTTTTGATGTTCCTATTACTTGGTTCAATCTCTATATCTTTCATGGACTGCACCTGATGCAACAATGAATGATTTTGATGTACAGTATTATTTGGACTCAAGGAGTGGCCAAGAGCATTGATCTTTCGGGGCATAGTTGCAGGATGTAAGCTGGGACCATTCTCTGCCAATAACTGCTGATCTTTTCCGGGCTGCTCCTCTCCAACAAAGCTCTGTGGCTTAGCAGAACCTGCAGGCAACTCAGATTGACTACAATCTCCTGCCTCAGCAATTTGATTGTCTAGCTTCATTGTTCCAGGAACAGTTGTTTTAGAGTTAATATTTGATTGATGATTAAACAAATTTTGGGAGGCCTGAGATGACTCTGCTACTAATAGATGCGGGGCAGAAACACTGGTCCACCCAATGGGCATTTTGGTAAAAGCATCTGGCTTTGGAGTTTCAGATGTAACAGATGGTTGGGAAGCTGGCAGAGCCTCCAAAACTAGATATTGCTGGCCTGGATCCCTTGCGTGGATTTGGTCGCTACTATTTGGCCGAGAAGTCTCTGAGGAAGCAAGATTGTTATCTGCAGCAGTTTTAGGTATGCGAGGTGCTGGTTTCCTTCGCAATTGACTAATTTGGACTCTCTCAGAAGAGTCATCAGTTTGCTTGGGCAGAGATGCCAACCCACCAAAAGGTGCATTCATAGATGCACTTGGAGTTGCCTGACTACTCACACTAGGAACATGCTGGCTTTGAAGAAGACTTTTTAAATGGCAATCAGAACCACTTGAAATGTTATTCCTAAAGTCTCCAGCGGATGCTCCATGAGTTGAGGACTGGACAAAAGTTTTTGGATCCAACCATGCATGACCCTTCCTTCCTACCTCAGAAGTGACATGAACTGAATTTAAAGAATTAACTACTTGGGGAGAACTCTGAGATGAGATTGCACGATCAGGAATGGTAAACCTTTGAGATGGAAGACCTAACTGTAAACCAAAACCTTGGGAAGAAGAAGGCCTATTATGTTGAAACTGGCCCACAGATCCATCAGAACTTTCTGTATCTGGCATTTCAGATGATAGATTGCGTTCAGAAGAGCTTACATGTATTGCAGTATCATGTTCTCTTGGCTGATCAAACTTAGGAAGAAGCTCCAGCATGTTTTGACTGTGAAATATAGGAATATCAAGAGCAAAATAGAAAGTAAATAAGAAACCAGCACAAGAAATAATAATAATGAAAGCCAAAGTGCCAGCATTACCAAAAAGAAAATCAGATTCCAAATATATATTGATGAATAAGTTTTTACTATCATAGTATTAACAACCAAAGAGAATATTATTTGTAGCTAAATTATCACAAAAATAAAAATTTGAAAAAAGCATGAAGTTCAACTCAAGCTAAAAAAATAAGAAGTACAAATATTCAACTACCTCTTTGGAGTTGTATTGTTTGGCACAGAACCAACAAAATATCTGTCAGAAGCAGAACCCTGATTCAATCTTTTTGAAGGTACCTTATTTGCGTGAATGCTAGGAAAACACCCCTAAGTAGGAGAAAATTAATAAAAATTATTTAGTCTTCCAAGAATCATATTACTCTAAAAAATAAAGCAAATTTCAGCAGTTGTACAGGGGACAGAAAAAAGGTTGACAATTCCACTCCAAAAACTACCTTCTCAGTTTCTATAGGCTCTCCAGCACTATAACCAGTAAATTTTGACTGCCCAGGGTATCCTTGGTCATGACCTTTCAATCCTTGCACAACATGTTGGGATGTTTCCTGTGAATATGCAACACTTTTAGTTCCATATGACGGTTCAGCCTCCAGATCCAGATCCCCCATAGGATGATACTGAAATTTACGGATTCCAGATGGCTTATGACTGATACGAACAGATGACGTCTGTTTTCCTCCACGTGAATCATTTACATCCATCCAGACATTGTCTCTCATGCCACCAGTAGAAGAATGGTGGAATGAGTTTGGGTGAAAACTGTCATTGCTAGTTTCTTTGACATTGTGATTGTCCAACATATTTGCTTCATCGTTATATCCTCCCTTGTCCAAGCAATCATTTCCAGATGAATCAAAAGCTTTAGGATTCTTATCCTGATTCTGCTGATATTTTGCTTGAACATTGCTTTGGACAGAGTTTAATTTAGAATTAGTATTTTTCCTGAGATCAAGATTATGATATTTTGGAAGTTGCTGGCAGCTTTCGTTGACCTGTTTGGTTCTTGAATCTGTTACTGCAGCAACATTATCCAAGTCAGAACCTTCCCTATTCACCTGTAGGCTTCTCAAGCCGGAATTTAAATTTCCCTGTTCAATATTTGCATCAGAAATGGAATGATCAATAGAAGAACCATGGCCTTTCTCCTCATAAATGGCACCTCTATGATCACTATTCTGAGAATCAATATCCCGACCTTTTGTAGCATCACCTCTATGTGATGCAGAGTCAATGAAGTTCCAACCGTTTGGCTTATTATGTGGCTGAACATGCATGTTATGTACAGCTATGTCTTGTTGGTGACCTGAAATGTTCTTTGCACTTACTTGCACATTAGGAGAGCGAGCAACATTTCCAAAGAATTGCACACTTTCAGCTACAGGCTTTTGTAGGGAACTGCAACCTAACCTTTTGCTTCTTTCTTCTGTTAACTGTTGAACAAATTTCTGAGATGAGTAATTATGCATTTTCTCAGTCTGTTCATTTGCAAAAGGGACTCCTGATTGCTGAACCCCAGGGATGCTAAAAAAGTCAGGATTGATATTGGCATCACTAGACATTGGAAAAGGTTTAGAGTTCGATGTCGAGGCAGTCTGCAATTTGTTATCATCCCAAGCCAATTGATTTTTGCTGCCATCATTGACAATTTGTGATGGCATATTCCCATTTGGAGATCCACTATTCTGCACACCTAAACCACCCCATTCTTCCTGTACCCCTAAATCATTACTAGATGTTTCTGCTACAGCAGACTGCATAAGTGCACTCCAACTGCCACTTTGCAAAGAAGGCAGTCCCCCGAATGAGTCCGTACCACCCAACAATGTGCCCATGTTGGTGCTCCTTCCAAAGATATTCCACACACTATCATCTGAACCAAATAAAATCTTTTCTTCTGTTTCATCTAGGGTAGCCACACTCTGTGAGGGAGCAGCCTGAATCTCTGACTTATCCAGGGATATTTCTGATGGACCAGGAAGTTCTTGCCTTCCACAACACTCCAGCATCACCTCGTTTTTTGGTTGGATAGTCATTTCCTGCAAATTTTCTGAATGAAATCCAATATTTAAGCCTTTTCCTGCTGCAGCCCCAAACACATTTCCACCCTGATCAGCCTGTCTAGAAACCGAAGTTCCATCTTGCAAGCCAACTTGATCTGTAAATACGGCATACTGATTAACTGGAAAAGAATTACTGCTGGCAGGCACCTGCTGCATTGAAGGCTTATCCATTTGGACAGAAGAATGGTGATATGGATTTCTTCTTGCACCGCCAGTTGAGATCCCGTAAAATGATTGATCAACCTGCTGAGGAACCGGACCCATCAAAGACACTTGCCCTTGCTCAGGGGAAAACGTAAATCCTCCAGAGGATACATGCATGGCTGGAGATGCATCATGCTGCAGCCAATTTGCATTTGGTGTAATGTGCTCAGGCTGCCAGGAATAATTTGAAGCATCATGGAGAGGAAGGCCATTGATTGAAGCTGGAGAAAGGCTACAAAATCCCTGTTTTACAGTAGAGGAAACCTGATTTGCGGAGCACAACTGCCTTGTATCCGGTAACTGAAACTGTGGCTTCAGGAGTTGTTGCCTCTGTAATTCATGCATGTGTTTAAGCATAGCATGTTGCTGTTGCTGTTGCTGTTGCTGTTGCTGCAATAGCTGCATGTCATTCATCCCTGCTTGCTGCCCAGACAAAGGTTGGATCATGCCAGAATGCTGTGCAGTAATTTGCTGTTGCCCTCCAAAAAAATCATAATTTACGGGAGATTCAGTAGATTCCAACCTCGGGGAATTTTTCTTATGAAGATCAGGACCATTTCCTATCTGTGAATCGAGAGGTGATAAGCATCTAGATGCTGCATCCACTCCCAAAAAGTTTGTTTCATTCTGCCTTGCCTGAAGAGCCTGATGCCGTAGCAAATAGCCATTTGCATTTGGTGATTGGGCTTGTAATTGACTTCTAGCTAGCTCAGGCCTCAAATCTAATTGAGTGAAGTTCATGTCATGCTGCTGGTTAAAAGACTGACCACCATGTCCTCTGTCAGAATCAGCTAATGCCAAAAGAGTATAATGAAGTCAATTGAACAGTGGTTAGGAAGCATGCTACAACCATGCTCTAAAATCGAAATTGCAGCAACAGAAGAGAGCAGAAACTTAACAATCAAGATGTCTGCATATTACCTAATTGATGTGCACTAAAATTCTTCAAACTGGAAACAAGAGGTCCACCAACTTGTCTCTGGCCTCCAACCCATATATTGTTACTTAAGCCGGGCCAGGAAGTGTCAAGGTACGGTGAATGATGCTGGCCTTGGGACAAACCCTCTTGACCAAGGAAATTATGGATCCTGTCCCCAACTTCGTTGCCAGGCATAGAGATAATCCAAGCCAAAAATACTCAGCAGCTAATGGTTTGAGAGAAAAAATCACTTCCTAAAAGATAAGAACTAAGTTAAATTCTTAATATGCTTTCAGTTCCATTCTATGCCACGCAACCATAAGAATCCTTCTTTAAATCCAAGAATACTTGGAAACAAACCTCTTCTGTACATTTAAACATTCACCCTGGTTGTGACGTTTCCTGCATGGATAAAGTCTAACATATCATCTCTTCATGGAAACAAAAGTTGAAGCAAGTTAAGGCAACTATCTGCTCATGCAAATTATTCCACCTTCCTTTTCTTCAGTTGGTAAAACAATCTAATGGCACAGTTCGTATTTGGTATATTGCCAATTTAGGTGCCACGCTCAATAATGAACATGGAACACAAGCTTCATATTGATGAAAATTAATGAAAGGTGGTTTACTTAAATTAATAAATTCAGATGCACGTATGAGAAGTTAGCAGTCTGACAAATCAGGTACATACAGATACGGACAACATAACGCCAGTAATAAAACCAAGAGCTCATCAGTCAGAGGAAAAGGAAACCTCCCTATTAACAAAAAACCAAACATCAAAGGCTACCATATCAAATTCAAAGAACTCCAAAAAAAGAAAAGAGACTCTCGATAAGCAACAAAGTAGGATACTACAGGTGAAGTACGGACACAAATTCACTAGTAATGACAAATTCTTGAAAATAGATTATTTAAAAAAAGAAAAGCGAAAACATTAACCTTCAGTATAGCAGAAAGAAAATATTCATTTCAACCTCAGCTCAATTTAAAATTTACAATTCCCCACGATGAAGATCCCCGTCACCCCTCCCTCCCTTTTCTCGGTAAACAAACAGATACTAAACTCAAAATTTCCGTAAAAATCGCACATTTCTAACCTAACCTACAAAAGAAGATCGAAAAGGTAGCAAGAAATCCTCATCACTAGAAAGAAACACAAACAACACACCTGACCAGCCCTAAACTATCAAATCCGGACCATCGATTCAGCGTCTCATACAAAAAAAAACTTGGCAAAAAAATACATTAGGGTTAGAGAGAGAGAGAGAGGATAAAGAAACTTACAATGGAGTGATGAAGCCATTGAAATGGAGCTCGAAAAATCGATCCCTGAAAGAGTGTCAAAATCGTGAGAGAATTTGTTAGGGTTTGGAAATTGGGCGCTTTTGTTTTAGCTCGACGAGAGAGAGAGAGAGAGAGAGAGAGGTCGAAATAGAGTGCGAAATTTTCAACGAACAGAGGAGCAAAATTGAGGTTCGGATCCGAAGGTAAGGTTAGGAGGGAGGTTTGGAGTCGAAGCTGAATGGGGGAAGGTTGAAGGAAGGAGGAGGAAGAAGGGAAGAGGGGGCTGTGTTTGGGTGCGCAAGGAAATAAAGACTTTTGGTGTTCCTGCGAGTATAATTTTGACACGTGCCAAATTATACGGTGGCTCCCACGCTTTAACAAAGTTCAGGATTCAACCGTTCGATTTGCATAAGAAGTTTCCTTCTTACTTTTTCTGGGTAAACTACACTCATGACCACTTACTTGTGAGAAAAATCTATTTTCATTATATTTTTTAAATTTATTAATCAGATCATTTAACTATTTAAACATTTTCAGTTAAGTCACATGTCATTAATATTTAATTAGGAACTTACGTAGCATTTAAAAAATGGTATATTTACGATAAAAAAATAAGTAAGCAAAATTATTCAAATAAAGACTCAAACCTAGAACTTATGAGGGGATCAAGTGTGGCTTAACCATTAGGCAATTTATCATATTTAGTAGGAAAAGTATTGAGACGGGCGCAAGATTTTATATTAAGGGGTGAACTTGAATTTTTAAAATTTTAGGGGGCAAATTTGAACTTATAAAATTTTAAGGGGCGAAAACAGATTTTCAATAGAAAATATATAAAAAAAATATTAAAATATAAGATAATTTAAAATTTTCAAGGGGAGAATGCCCCCACCCCTCGATCCATCACTGGTAAGTAAAACTCGACTTGACAAAATTAATTTTTTAATTTAACTCGACGCTAAAAAAATTGAGTCGAGTTGGCTAGATTTGTAATTTCATAAGCTCGACTCAAAATTTTCAAATAAAGTTTAAATTAAAAAAATAAGACTCAAATAATTCAAACTTTTTAGTAATTAGTAGATTGATTTTTAAGTTTGAGTCTAGCCTTTAAATTATACATATACATATATTGCGTATGAAAAAATATATATGTATATCATATATGGTTATAGATAGTCGTTTAAATTGAAACCAATTAATATCATAAATTGTAAATACTTGCATTTAAGTTTAAATGGAAACTCGATTCAAATTTTATAAACTAGTATCAACTCAAAAAAAATTAACTTTTAAAAATAAAACTCGTCAAATCGACCAACTAAAAAAAATTAGCTCTAACTCTGACGATTTATTAGAGTATAAGAACACATAAATCACTAAAATAAAATTTAATAAAGGATTTATAATTGAATATATTTCATATGATTTAAATAGTAGCTAATTCAATATTTAAAATAAAATTGAATTTGCATGCGATTTCAGTGGTAAAATGGTGGTTGTTATCTCTTGAGATTCTGGTTTCAAGCATGTCATCTGCAGGGTGTATTAACGTTCATTGTCAAATAGCTGAGAGTTAACAAAAACTACCATGAAATCATTATAAATTAATAAAAAATTTAATATTTTTATATTTTTTAACTAAAAAGAAAAATACAAAAGTGAGAAGGTTAAACATTAAAAAAGACGTTGTAATGGATATGAATTTAATAGTAGAATTTTAACAATGTCAATAATTATAGAGTAATTTTCAAGTGTACAGAGAGTACAGGGACTTAGAGCGAAATTTAGTCATAGTAGAAATGCATAACCGAGCAGGTTTTCGAAACGGTGTCGTTTGGTGACTGGTCAAAAGCATGACAAGCCTTGACTGTACTTACCCACGACTTTAAAAAATTTCCAGCAAACTGAGAGTATTCGATGCAACTCCTTCAAAAATGGAAAATAAACATAAAAAATAATCAAATTTTAAAAGTACAAATTTGAGAAAGAAAAACCAATCCCACTTATGCATTTTCCCACGAAATTCATATCTTTATCCCTATTCTCTTTCACAACCCTCCCTTTGATGCTCCTTTGACTTTATTTCTTTTTTCTTCTTTTTTTATTATTCTGGGTTGATGCTGCTGGATTTCGATGATTTCGAGCTCTATTTTTTTCTGGGTTGATGCTGCTGGACTTCGATGATTTCAAGGAAAACAAGTTCTAAGGTTTGATGGGTTTCTCTTTTTTTCCCTGAATTTTTAAACTATTGTTTGTCATGTGATCTTTAAGATTAAATTTTATTTTATAAATGGCTAAGTAAGGCTTACCTTCGTCATTTCAGTTCAATCTTTGTTCGAGTAAAGTTCTAAGTGGATCATCTGAAAATCCCATTTTGATTTATATAGGGTGGGGAGTTATCAAGCTGTGATCTGCGTGATTGATTTCTTCGAATTCCAAGAGCATCCATTTGTGAGATCTGCTCTCGATTGTATCTGGGGTTTATTCAATTCATATCATCATCCTTTTGATATATCGAGTTGTAAACCGTTTAATTGATTTCTTCGAACTCGAAAGCATCCAATCGTGTTGTTCTGCTATTGATTGTATCTGGGCTTTATTAAATCTGAATTATGATACTTTTGATTTGGCTGGAGTGTGGAGTTGTCAAGTTGTAAACTGTTTTGATTGATTTCTTTGAATTCGGAAGTATCTGATTGTGTTGATCTGCTCTTGATCGTATCTGGGGTTATCGAATCCGAACCATGGTTTTGGCTGGTATATGGTTTAGGTTCTAGATATCATCGGTCCATTGAAAGGTTTGGCTTGATTGATTGCCTGGGAAGTTGCTCGTTGTTAAGTCGATTACACTTGATTGGTTTATTCGGTTTCTTTTGTGTATTCTTGGCTTTGATATGGACGGATGTCAATCTACCATCCCGACATCCGAAGGAGATCTTCACGTTGTTGCTGCAGCTCATCATATTGTCAAGGCATTAGGAGCAACTAAGAATCTTAGTGATGATTTGCGGAAAATCCTTATCGATCTTGATGCTCATTTGTCGATGATAACTTCGAATACAGACAGCAAGGGAGGAAGGGGATTTGTGAATGTTGAGGAGCGACTCAAACAAGCAGAGAGAAAGATTCTGAGTTGGGAATCAGATCCGAGGATGATATGGGACTCTGGGCCTAGGGAAGCTTCCAAGTATCTCGAAGCTGTTGATGAAATTCAGACGCTAGTTGATGGTTTACAAGGGTTATCTGTGCATGAAAATAGGAAGCAAAAGGAACTTATCCACCATGCAATGAGTGTTTTGCAGATGGCAATGTCTAGGCTTGAGGAAGAGCTTATTCATATACTTGTTCAGCGTAGGCAACAGTTCGACCCCAAACACATGACATCTAGATCTACTCAAAGGGATGTTGTTTATGATGAGTCATTTGTTTCAGTTGAAGATGAACCAACCGAGGAAACATCAAGCCGGAACTGCTCCGGTGATGAAATTGGTGAGTATATTGTAGATTTGATCCATGCAGATGTGATTCCTGATATCAAGTCCATCGCAAAGGTTATGTTTACTTCAAACTATGGTCCGGAATTTTGTGAAGCTTTCATTGGTGTACGGAAAGAAACATTGGAGCAGTACTTTGCCATTATTGACACGGAGAAACTCAGCATCGAGGATGTGCTGAAATTGGAATGGACTAGCATGAGTAGCAAGATGAATAAATGGACCTGGTCCATGAAGATCATTGTTCGAGTCTATCTTGCTAGTGAAAAACGGTTATGTGATCAGGTCTTAGGGGACTTTGGATCTGTTAGTTCGTTTTGTTTTCTTCAGATCTCAAAGGCCACGATTCTTGGCTTCTTGAACTTGGAGAAGCCGTAGCAATGGGGCCTCATCAACCTGAAAAGCTGCTTCGTTTGCTTGACATGTACGAAACTTTGGCAGATCTTCTCCGGGACATAGATACACTGTTCTCGGAAGAGGCTGGTTCTTTTGTTCGGCTTCAGTTCCATGAGCTTCTGGAGAGTTTGGGTGATTCTTCAATAGCAGCATTTGAGGCATTTCGAGTTGCTATTTCTTCTAATGGATCCTTATACCCCTTTCCTGGTGGTGGTGTTCACCCTCTCAATAAATATGTAATGAACTACATCAGGATGTTCTCTGAATATTGCAACACCCTCAATTTGCTTCTTAAGAACCAGCATGTCGATGTTGCAGATCAAGTTATTGAGCCAGATAATGGGCCAAACTTGTCTCTTTCCACTTCTTGTCCCATGGCATGTCACCTTCGATCAATCACAAGTTCTTTGGAGTCCAATCTTCATAGGAAGTCACAACTATACAAGAATGAGGCTTTACAACATATTTTCTTGATGAACAACATCCATTACATGGTTCAAAAGGTTAAGGGCTCAGAACTCAGACTATTCTTTGGAGATGAATGGATTCGTAAGCATAACGGAAAGTTTCAGCAGCATGCAAAGAACTACGAGAGAGCCACTTGGAGTTCGGTCATTTGTTTCCTCAAGGACGATAACCCGGGCTCAAGTTCCTTGTCGAAACAGACCTTCAAAGAACGATGCAAGGGCTTTAGCATTGCTTTTGAGGAGGTATACAAAACCCAGACAAGTTGGTGTATCCCAGATCCTCAGCTTCGTGAAGATTTGCGAATTTCAACTTCACTTAAAGTGGTCCTTGCATATCGAACATTCCTCGGGAGAAACTCTGCTCATATCGAAAACAAGTGTGTTAAGCACACCGTAGAACATGTGGAAAAGTTTCTCTTGGATCTTTTTGAAGGATCACCAAGATCATTGCGCAATTCACGCAGATGGTGAACACTTAAGGTCATAAAATTCGACCATTCTTGCTTTCTCTGTCACTCATTTTCCGTTTTCGGAATTTTCTTTTCCTGATAAAACGCTTGCTTGTTGTATACCTGATAAAACGCTTGCTTGTTGTATATGTAAATGTGATTATATAATTAACATGTTATAGTACCAGAAGTTGGTTCTCTGATTGCATACAAAGGGCTGAGCCTGTGTTTCTTTTGGCTTGAAAAATAGCATTCTTAGCTATCCTGCAAATGTTAACCAATAGTTTTTATGACAAATTCGTCCTAGGCATATGATCCGTCTCATTCTCTAGGTTCATTCTTGTGCTAGGATTGTTTGTTTTTCGGGTTTCGGTGCGTGTCAAATACGAGTATATATATATATATTTCATATAGTTTTTGATGCAATAGAGGGTCA